GCATCCCCAGGGCCCAATCCTGTTCGGTGCAGAGAGTCTCCTGCAAAGGGCAGAGCACCCATATTTCCCACCAAGGGAGGAAGGCTCAGCCCCCCAACACTGTAAACATTTACACTGTCAAATCACCTGATTTTCCATTAAGGTTGGGGCTACAAGGTGAGTAGAGATTTAGTTTTTCTGAGACCCACATGGCCCCCTTAGCCACAAGACCCCCGATTTGGATCCCCCCTTGAGCACTGCTAGGGGATGGGGCTGTTTTTCCTTTTTGTTCGGGAAATTGAATGTTTACAGAAGACAGCCTGGGCTACAGACACATCATGAGCAGACCAGTGCCCTGAAAGCAGCCATACAGTAAATACACCCCAACCCTGCAGTGTCATTCCACAGCCCCACCCAATCCACCCCTCTCAATGCCCCTTAGCCCTAACCTGCAGTATCCCCTGCTGTCATGCCTCCCTGCTTCCCCCAAACACACCCCTGAGTCCTCTCAGCTTGGAACCTGCTCTTTGGTCTGCAGCCCTGAGCCACACTCCACTCAGCTCCTCCACTCCCATCCAGCTCTGCTAATGCCCTCTGGGCTGACAGAGACCTAGCTCATTTTATGAGCTTCAGTGCTGAGCTGAAATTCCAGTCCTAGTCCCTCAAAGGCCTCTGCTTCTGCACCGCCTTCCTCAGCAACAGCAGACACCAACTGCCTGAGCAGACAGAGCAAGTGATGCAGTAGTTACATTTTTACGTGCAAAAGTTCACCATGGATTCAGGATGGGCCCTTCACTTTGAGGCTCATGACCAGGGAAGATCAAACCTTTCCTGGCTGTCTGCACCACACCACCCAGCCCAGCTGCAGCACTGTGATGGAAAAAGAGGGATAAACATTCCAGTTGCAAATTCTTGCATTTTTAAAACAGAACCCCTTCTCCCATCCAACCCCCCAATTTTTATGGTCCAGTTAAACTCCAAGTCACGCTTTGCCCTGTTCATATCACTCCATAATCTTATCTGACTTAGAGTGCAATGTAAATAAACTCTCTCTAGCATCAAAGGCAAAAATTCTTCTGTTCGGGCAAGTGACTCTGAAAGTTTGAGCAAAGCTGCAGTTTTGTATCACAAAGGGACACTTTTACACTTTGGTTTTCCTTCTGGTTCTTTTATCAACACGAGGGCCATCAAAACAAAATAGCCTCCTCTTCTTAAAGAGGTTAGAAGGCAGCATAGGACTTAGTTGTGTGACCAAAGAACAGAGGAGCAGAAATGAAAGTGCGGAGTGGTATATACAAATAAGGGTTTCCTCTCAAGTAAAATTAGAAACTCTTCTAGACCATAAAGGCAAGAAAAAAACCCAAAAGGTAGATTAAAGAACAGTAGAGAGAACTGAGAAGAAGAATATGCTACAGATAATCAGAGGTCCTGTCAGGGAAATCCGATTTCTTTTTCAGATACTGCTACATGAAAGACCTGAGCTAACGTCCGTTGAGGCCAATGGGAGTTTTCAAACAGGCTTTGGCGCAAGCCCTGATTCCTGCAGCTATGATATTTCACAGACCCTGCTGGAGGACAGGGGGCTGGGTCACAGGTACTCCCATTCCGTCCAGAGCACATTCTTGCAGAGAGGAGGAGAAACACAGAACTTGTCCAGAGCAGTGTTTGAAGTGAATCCAAACGGTGCAAGCACAGACTGCGTCAGGGCAGAGACCCGACATGGTGGTCAGACAGGTCACCCACAGAGCTGAGCAAATAGCCACCTTCAGAAATGAGAGGAATATTCACTTGCATTCAAAAGGGAATTTTAGTTCAACCACAGCCTGCCTCCTGCTAACATAGCAATGCTTGAGCTTCATTACCATGACTACTGGTGTGCACACACACGCATACACACACACACACACAGACCAAACCCCAAAAATGTTTTTCATTCAAATGCTTGAATATTTGCCAAGAATGAATTTCGAAGGATACATTTGATTGTAAAATTCACCAGTTCTGTTGCATTCATCATGTGTTTTCATTGCTTTCCCCTGAACAGCCTAGGGGGGGGGGGGGGGGGGCAGGGGGCCAGCACACACCCTATGCAGCGTCGAAGCCTACACAACACATGATAGGCTTACATGGGACATAAGTGAGGCAATAACCTCGCATTGGCTTTCTGCCCAGAGGTCACTTTCGCCCAGTCTGAATTTTATCTTAAGTGCTTATTTGGCCCTGTGTTCCCATAGTATGTGAACATCTGCCTGTTTTTAATGTATCTATTCTCACAAACTCTTAGGGAGGCCAGGCAGTGCTATTATCCCCATTTTATAGAGGGGGAAACAGAGGCACAGAATGACTTAAGTGTTTTTCCCTGCTCTGCTGCAGGCACTGGACAATCCCATCTCTTTGGAAGTGTTCATGTTGAACATGCAATTTGAGATTTGCAGGGTGTCAGTTAGTGGCAGGAGGGAGCACAAATTGCAGCATGACTGTAGTATTCCCAGTCTGAACAATCTACAGAGCAAGAATTAGTCATTGATTATATTTGTAATGACTTTCAAATTATGAATAAATTGGAGAGTGTCATGGTCTGGGGGAGGCGGGCAAATAAAAAGCTAAAAATGATGAGTGTTTGTATTAAACTGTCATGCAAAGACCCCCTCCCCCCCAGTCAGGCTCATAGCCGGGGCTAGGTTCAGTACACACGTTTTGTCAGTTGTCCGTTTCTAACTTGGGCTCAGCTCCACAAGTGGGTAGTTCTGTGAAGAAGAGGTAGGAGTTTCCAAGCCACAAACAGAGGAAGACACCCACTGATCATCCAGCGGTTTGACACTTTTACCTGTACACCAGTATGGAAGCTTCACCTGGTTTTTGGTGTTATTTCTGTGCACGTCTAGCCTGTGAAAGTCACATGCAAGGGAGAACAATTAGTGGGGTATCACCTAAGAACCTCCATCATTGATCAGTCCCGGCCACTCCTGGGTTCAGAATCTTGTTTGACAGATGGGTCACATGTGCACAGGACAGACAGATGGATCGGGGGATCAAGAGACCCATGAATTTGGTTGTAAAGTTGGCACTACAGCTCTTTGCTTGGTGAGGCAATGCTGGATAGTATCAGATTGCAAACATCAGCTGGGCATGATGGTAAGCGGGAGAGCTCGCCCCCTTAAAGAGACTGCAGTCTCTCACGCCGAGTTAATTGCAACACAGGGCTCTGAACTAGGGGGGAGTAGGAGAACGAACGAAGTCCTAGCTGGAGAATTCTTTCATTGACCAAAAAGAAAACCAAGACCTTTGACTTCCTACAGAAGCCATCTCAAGGAAATGCTTCCAAATGTAATACTATTCCCTAGTTCTTATGTCGCTCTTTTTATCAGCAGAGCTCAGAGAACAGGAGGTGAAGATCATTGTCCCAGTTTTACAGATGGAGAAACTGAAGCACATAGGAATTCCTGCAAGGCCTCCCAGGGGCAGAGCCAGGAATACAAACCATGTCTCCGGAGTCCAGTTCCCATTCTCTATCCACCTAGCAGCACTGCCGTCTTACGGACAGAGTGTGTTACTGGCATTCGCATCTTCCCTGAGAGGACTGCCCCGTTTTACAGATGGGGAAAACGGTCTCATTAACGTAACACCAAGATTAAAACACAGAGGCCTCAGGGGCCTGTGTTCAGTGCAAACTGTGCCCTCTTCACTAACAATCTGCAAGGAAGTCAGTCCAGATGGAGGATGGGCCAATTCTAGTAACCAGGTGCAGAACTACCATGGAAGGGACCAGCAGTCTGGCTTGCCCCTCAACGCACAATCTTCTTTGCCATCAGCAAAGGCCCCAAAGAGGAACTTGTAAGCGCGAGGCCTGACATTCCATCCAGCCCAAGACAGAAGTGTATGTTCACACTACAGTGGACCTGCTGACGCACCCCCGGCAGTCTCAGCTTCAGAAGAGAGAGCACCAGGGCGTCTCCAGCAACGTCACTTCACAGGAGTCCAAATCCTTGCCTAGCAGTTATCCACATCGCAAGAGTCAGGCGCCATGGTAATCTACTTAGATGAGCCAAGGGGAGAACAGAATCTGGAACCCCAAACATAGGCCTGTACCTCATGAGCTAAAAGGAGAATTTCTAATTGGGCTAAATAACACTAGGGCTTTTATCTTTTAGGCCTATTGCCAGTAAAGGAAGACAGTCACAAGCTTGCTTTCACTTCAAGAGCTGTTTTTTAAGCAGGGGGGCCATGTCTCCCCTGCCTTTTGAGAACCTGAACTCCACCGGGATACAAAAGGAGGACACACAAGGCTGTCCTGTGGCTCCTGACCAGAGATGGGTGGCAGGGCCTATTCCTGGTTGGCATGACTGACGGACAGACGGGCCAGATTTCAGTGAATGGCAGTGTGACTGACTGCTCACCTCACCGTTGCCCCCTATGACACATCCCCACTCACTGCTGCAGTCCTGGAACTCTGTCAGAGGAGTCAGTGTGCTAGGCCCTGTACAAGCGTTTCAGTCAGAAGAAGGCAGACCCCTGTCCCAAGCAGCATACAATCTTATATCAAGACAAGATCTGAGCAGAGGACAGAAGTAGAGTGGGGTGGGGAGGATCACAAGATAACCTGAAGATTAAGATAGCCCAGTAAACAGTATAACCTTAAAAAACAACAAAAGAAGTAGGCTGTGCCCACAAAAGCTCATGTTACCATCTGCATGCTACCAGACCATTCGTTGTTTAAGTTTATCTTGTACAGGCTAACTCAGCTACGCCTGAAGCCGTGAGCAGTAATTATTGCTCAACCCAGCCTCGCTGTGGTCAGATAAGAGGTTTTCATAGGCACCACCGTAAAAGAGGAAGTTGGTGCCTTTTGACCAGGAGGTTGCAAAGTTCCTTGAAGAAGCTCTCCTCTAAAAGACCCAGCATGCTGCTCTTTAGATGTGAGCTATCTGCCAAATCCTGCAGAGGACACAAGTAAAATCCCCTCCATGCTCACCAAGACACTTTCAACTCCTCCCCCACCTTTTAGTAGAAAGAAGGCCTACCTGTATTGTAGTGTTCTAAGCCAGTGGGCACTTCTTGAATGGCTGTCTCATCCCAGATTGGGTAGCAAATCCTTTGCTGGTAGCAGGTGGACTGCAACCCACAGCTCATCCAAGGATCTTCATAGGGATTGGCAGCACCCTGCCTCAATTACAAGGGAAAGACATCAGCTGAGAAGCAGATCTAGGCACAAACATCACAACTGTTTCTTCCAACAAAGTCTCATGAAAATGTCTTCCAGGAGAAATTTCAATACCGACATTTTGTTCTGTCAGATAAAAATATATTTTGCGGGGGTGGGGAGGAGGGCGGGGCGAGTTGGGAAACAAAAGGTACAACAGACAATTCAAAAAGAAAACAAAAATCCAGAAGGGTGCAGAAAGCCCCAAATATTTTCCTCCGCCCACTTCTTCAGGCATGAGGGGTTTGGAAAGTGCAGCATGCAAAGACGTAGGCTGACACGAATCCAAACACCAAAATGTCTATTTTTCGTCCTTTGCTCATCACCAGCCCACCGCCCGGAACAAGCTCCAATTCGTGAGGATCCACAGCCACCAATTAAAGCAGGCAGCAGAAACCTGACAGACAGAAGCTGTGCAGCCACTTCCAATCCAGCCCTCCCCCAGAAATCACTCTGCTCCATATTCTGTTGCCTACGGGTGCAAGCTGCAACCCTTGTCACCAATGGGGGAGAACTGAGCTAATATTTTGTATTACTTCCCGCCTGCTCCCCATCTGTTTGCGGCCAAAACTAGCTGATAGAGTCATAGAATCCTAGGGCTGGAAGAGACCACAGGAGGCCATTGAGTCCAGCCCCCTGCCCAAAGCAGGACCAACCCCACTAAATCATCCCAGCCAGGGCTTTGTCAAGCCGGGACTTAAAAACTTCCAGGGATGGAAATTCCACCCCCTCCCTAGGGAACCCATCCCAGTGCTTCCCCACCCACCTAGGGAAATAGTTTTTCCTAATATCCAATCTAGACCTTCCCCACTGTAACTTGAAATTATTGCTCCTCATCTTGTCATCTGCCACTACTGAAAACAGCCTCTCTTTGGAAGCCCACTTCAGGAAGTTGAAGGCTGCTATCAAATCCCCTCTCATTCTTCTCTTCTGCAGACTAAATAAGCCTCAAACCTTCAGCCTTTCCTTGAAGGTCATGCGCTCCAGCCCCCTAATCATTTTTGTTGCCCCTCACTGGGACTCATTCCAATGCATCTACATCCTTTCAGTAGTGGGGGACGGGGAGAGAGGGGGCCAGAATTGGACACAGTACTCCAGATGTGGCCTCATCAGTGACTTCCTTAGATCTGCCGGCAACGCTCCTACTAATACACCCCAGTGTGCCGTTAGCTTTCTTGGCTACAAGGGCACCCTACTGACTCATATCCAGCTTCTCATCCACTGTAATCTCCAGGTCCTTTTCAGGAGAACTGCTGCTTAGCCAGTCGGACCCCAGCCTGTAACTATGCTTGGGATTCTTCTGTCCCAAGTGCGGGACTCTGCACTTGTCCTTGTTGAACCTCATTCTTTTGGCTCAAACCTCCAATTTGTTCAGGATCCCTTTCCACATGTGCCCATGCTTATGGCCTCATCATGCTGCCTGGTAGTCCAGCAGCTATCAGGATCATCCAGCAGCCAGGCTGCCTTTTCATATCCATTCTTCACCTCCTTTTACCTCAGTCAGTTCTTTCCAAGGCACATAGCTCTTTGCAATATTTGAGTATCCCATTTTGAACAGCTCGGCATGTCGGGTGATTGGCCACAAGTGAGGGTGCTAAGCCCATGAAAACCTGGCCCTGGGTGCATCTGAAAAAGTGGACCCACCTGAACTGACCCTAAAATATGAGAATTAGTCAGTGAGAGGAGCTGTATCGTGTAGAATGATTCATCCTGAAAGCACCTCAATTGGGGAGCAAGCTGGGTCATTAGAAGGTCAAAAAGGCCATGAGGCATAGTAAGAAGTTAAGAGATCCCAGGTCTCTTGTCTTGTATTTCAGGACACTGAAGATCAGGCTTGCCAATGGGGGGGGGGGGGCAAAAGGAGCAGTTGCCCCCAGACCTTGTAAATCACCACCAGAGCACCACACAGAACACTCCATGTAGCCCTGAGGGTTGTGCTGGCACCGCCCCTTCAACCCATGGCCTCACCTCTTCTTGGAGCACAGAGCAGGTCCCTTCTGCCTTTCCCAGGGGTCCAGGGAAGCTGTTGGCTACCTTGCTGAAGATAATGACATTTGGATGAATATCCCTTCCTCATTGTCTTCCTGGGAATGCTCTGTCCACAGAAGACACTTAGGGTGTGTCTAAACTACATGGCTCCATCAACAGAGCCATGTAGATGAGGCTGATCGGCAGAGGGAAATGAAACCATGATTTAAATAATCACGGCTTCATTTAAATTTAAATGGCTGCCGCACTCTTCCAACCAGCTGATGATCAGCTGTTTGTCGGCAGATCTGGGCAGTCTGGATGCACTGCGGTCGACAAAGAAGCCTTTGTTGACCGGTGCAGGTAAACCTGGTTTCCTTGTTGACCACGGCGCGGCCAGACTGCCCCGATTTGCCGACAAACAGCTGATCATCAGCTGGTCGGCAGAGCGCGGCAGCCATTTAAATTTAAATGAAGCCATCTTTTCGCTCTGCCGATCAGCCTCATCTACATGGCTCCGTCGACAGAGCCATGTAGTTTAGACACACCCTTAGTCAGCAGAGATCATGGGAACCACACCCTGTTCTGCTTTGCTTGTGCATTAGTGGTTGGTTTTTCTTAGCCCCGGTGCACATCCCACCACCAACAATTAGTGTTTTGCCAGTGCTGGGGGACACATTCATCCCTCAGACCTGAAGGCACACAATCCGTGCCCCCTCTGCTCTGAGGCAAAGCTGCACAAAAGACAATATTACAAGGAGGGAAGTGGGGTTTGCCACAAAAGAGCAGCCTTATTCCAGCTGGGGCAGACTCCTTCCCAAAAGAACATTCCCCCAGAGAAGCACGCACTGGTAATACCTCCTAGCATAGGTGACTGGTGCCTGCGAAGGACAGGGGTGCAGAGAGGGCTACCCAGAGGAACTGGGAGGAAGCATGAGGGAGCACCCCATTGAACCATCAATATTTTAGCAGGGGCAGAGGCAACAGGGGTGTGTTGAACTTATAAGCTATGGTGGTTAGTGTGAGCAAGGCTAGACATTGAAAGGTTATGGGCTCAAATCCCACCAGAGTTTCTTATGCCTCCCAACTGGTCTTGACCCGTCCCCTCCACCTTAGGTGCTATTGGGACCACAAGGTACATTTCCTGGGAGAGTCAGGCTGGTTTTAGTCCTGTCATGATAGCAGTTTTCAAGTGTCTAAAAGGGTGTATCTAAGAGCAGGGAGAAAACTTGTTCTCATTGGACTCTGAGGATAGGACAAGACACAATGGGCTTAAATTGCATCAAGAGAGGTTTAGGTTGGACATTAGGAAAAACTTCCTAACTGTCAGGGTGGTTAAACACTGGAATAAATTGCGGAGGGAGGTTGGGAATCTCCATCTCTGGAGATATTTAAGAGCAGGTTAGATAGATATCTATCAGGGATGATCTTAGACAGTGCTTGGTCCTGCCGTGAGGGCAGGGGACTGGTCTTGATGACCCCTCAAGGTTCCCTTCCAGTTCTAGAATTCTATGATTCTATGTGACTTCTCCCCACTCTCCCCCTCCCTTCCAGGAACTAGGGAACCCACAGGCTGATTATAATGACTATAGTTTGTCCACACCTCAAAGGCTCCAGGGATGGAGGCATGGGGGAGAGGGACCATCGTCCATTGAACAGGTGATATCAGGAAACATGGAACTCCTGGATTTGCAGGGCCCAAACTCTTCCTCCAGTTCCTGCAGTGATCTACAGCAGCAGAGCTACTTCTTGCACACAGGCAATGGGAGCAGTAAAGGGGTTTTGAAGAAGTAATGAGATCATGGAAGGAGATTCAAACAGGCTGGAGTTGAAGGATGTGTCATTACTCCCATGGCAGCGATGGGCAATCTAGGCTAGTGAGAGGACCACATGAGCGGTCCCCCTTCATCTGAGTGGGCTGCAAGATTGAGTGGGCTGCAAGATTGTCATAACTAAGATGGCCTCCCAGGACAGGGCAGTGTTGTTGACTGCACTTGAGCGTAGCAGCACTTGATTGGCTGCAGAGGGAGCTCTCACAGTCAATGTGGTGTGCAATCAGCACCCACCTTACTGCACGTGCCCTGGCTTTATGTGTGAGCCAGTTTAGTAATGCCGGTAAGAAAAAAAACGACACAAACAGAAACCAGCAGAATCTGGCAACCCTGCACATAGAACCATAGAACTGGAAGAGACTTCAGAAGGTCATCAAGTCCAGCCCCCTGCTCTAGGCAGGACCAATCCCACAGTAAACATAATGTCTCACAGGCCACACATAGAAACCCGATGTGTCATGTGTGGCCCGTGGGCAACCTGCAGCCCACCACTGTCCCACAGGCTCCCACAATAAACATGTGCCCCCAAGCACCAATCCAAGCGAGCACACCTAACAAGGAAGCAATAGGGTGCAAAGAGCAGGATCAACGTGCCCACGGGAGCCTTCCCAGCCCCATGCAGTGACACTGCCGTTACTCAAGATACAGAGAACCAGGCCTGTTTCACGCTAGACTGAAAACACTCTGAAAATGAGTGGGGCTGTTTTCCCCGAGAACTTTGATCTGCTGGCACAGAGATTCAGGGTCTCTCCAGCAAAGCCCCACCTATCGCTAGCTCTGCACACACCGGGACCCCAGTAGGACTTCTGAGCTGACAGGCAGTAGGAGGTCATGGCCCCAAGCTGTCAGGAACTCAATGAGCCGGAGACAAAGGGTAAGGGAGGAAGACAAGGAGGCCAGCAGTAGTAAGAGAAAAGAAATATGGTGCTAAATTCCATGAGTGTTTGAACTCAGGAACATCCATCGGTTAGGACATTGGGCTGGGACTCAGAAACCTATAGCAGAGGAGGGAAACAAATCTGGATCCCCCAAGTCACTTTCCCGCTATGAGATTTAATTTGCAAACTATCAGAGGGGTAGCCGTGTTAGTCTGAATCTGCAAAAGCGGCGAGGAGTCCTGTGGCACCTTACAGACTAACTGAAGTGTAGGAGCATAAGCTTTCATGGGCAAAGACCCACTTTGTCAGATGCATGTAGCGGAAATTTCCAGAGGCAGGTATAAATATGCAGGCCAGAATCAGGCTGGCCTGATTTTTGCAAACTGTAGAAGAGGGTTTATATTATCCTATCCAGAAGCACTGGGGTCTGATCATTGTTACACAGGGCTGGCTTTACATCAGTCAGTTCTGCTTGTCTAAGGTTTGTCCTTTATCCAGTGCCTAGATAAATCCAGACACAGAGGACGCACCAGCAGGGGCAGGATGGTGGGACTTTTCAAAATGGCATTCTACAGTGAGTGTGAGGTTGCTCTGCCAGAGTCCTGGTTGTGGAGGTGGGGTTGCACCATATCCAGAAGCATTGAAATGTCCTGTGTTCTGGGAACACATGCGTGGCCATCCTAGACTCTGGGCTGCTCCACGCATAGGATTCCCAGTTGCTGCAGTGAAAGTTTTGGGCGGCTGCAGAGTCCCCTCAGAAGGACAAAGTCGAACAAATGCTAACCAGCACAGTGCTTACTACCATGAGTCATGCAGTCTCATGCAAGCCATGCTAGGTGCAAGACTTAACAGAACTGGGCCCTTGACATGCAACTCTGGAGGGCACCTTAGAGCTCCCAAGATGCACCACAGATATGGACCCAAAGCAGAGAGGATGTTGTAAACTAGCAACTGCCGTGTGTGACCCAGATCCCAGCTCTGTCCCCCACAAGAGGAGCAAAAGAAGAGCATAGTTTAAGACACATGCCCAGATACAGGAGTGTGGGTAATGAATAAAGTCCAGGAGTCAGTTCTTAGTCTACTATATATCTGAGAGAGTTTGTCTGTCTGTGCATGAGACTGTCTTCCTGTCTCTTTGTTCAAGAACTCCTAAACTGTAAGAGGTAGGATCACCAAGTTTGGTGGGCAGCTTCCTATTATCATAACATAAAGCAAGGTCTGGGTTTGGTTGGGCCAGGACAATGGGATGTGCCTGGAATGGGACTGCTTCTCATAAAACACAGCTGGAGGATTCTCTGCATCTTGGGGTCTTCAAAGTATTTGAAGGCTTCAATATCTGAGATATAGGTGAGAGGATTATTCTAGGAGGGGTGGGTGAGATTCTGTGGCCTGCACTGTGCAGGGGGTCAGACTAGATGATCATAATGGTCCCTTCTGACCTTAAAGTCTATGAGTCTATGAGTAAAACCATGCAGAAGAGAGACAGACTCATGAGGCAGATTAAAGGGGCTGGGTGGCGGTGCACACATCCAGGACTGTACCAGCCCCAAGCTGCCCACCCCCCCGGTGTCCTACCCATCATCCAGGCTGAAGTCCCCTCTCCCCTGATTCATATGGGGATGCTGTTGGCTGTTCCCCTACTTTAGGGAGACAAGGGAAAATGCACAATTTGCTCCATTCCTCAGTCTAGCTGGGGAGCACAAGGGGCAGACGAACCTGGACCTGCCCCAGGCGGGGGACATGCCCCCTGCCCCAAGCTGCTGAAGTGAGAGAGGGCTGGAGTTGTCCTCTCTCCCCAGGGCAGCCTGCACACTGATCCTCATTCCCAGCCCCATCCCAGAGCCATGACTTAAATCAAACAAAACAAAAATTGATTAACAACCAGAGTAAAAAGCATTTGATCCCAATCAATCAAATGCTTCCCTTGATTAAATCCATAGCAACCAATCCTTTGGTGCCAATAACAGCAGGATCAAGCCCAGATAAATGCCTGGCCACAGGGTTATTCCATTCAAACGAGCCAGGTAACCTCCAGCACAGTGAGAGAGATGGATGCTGTCACCTGTGATAACAGGAAAAAGAGCTTTCTTCCCCTCACACCCTGTCCCAGCTGTTTCCAGGCCTGGGCTCTCCATCACTGGCCACACATTAACCATTTCCTTCCCACTCTGTTCCTCCTAAAACTATGTGGAGGTCAATGGAACTCTGAGGTATCTGATCTCTGGAACAATATATTTTTTTCCAAGAAGAAAAAATGTTCCCAAATCAGAAAAGAAAAAAGATCATTTTGCTGCTGATGGGGGTGAGATGAAAGATTTTCTATGGGGAAATATGTCCATTTTTCATTAAAGAAACAGCATTTTTTTTCCTCTTTCAAATAATAGAATCCCAGGGCTGAACGAGACCTCGGGAGGTCATCGAGTCGAGCCCACTGTCCAAAGCAGGACCAACCCCAACTAAATCATCCCAGCCAGGGCTTTGTCAAGCTGAGACTTTAAGAAAAAAATCAATAGTTTGAAGCTGAAATTTTTCACTCTGAAGTGATCAAATAGTTTCATTTTTATGTCTCTGAGCAGAGATTTTTCCAGAACTTTTTGTTGTGTGAAAATTTTCACTATTCCAACTTTTTTCCATTTGGGGACAAGCGAGAAAGAACTAAAACACTGAACTTTATTCTAAGACGGAAATTCCACTTTCCAACCAACTCTACTTAGCACCTAATTTTAGCATCCCAAATCTATAGCTTTCATGTGCCCTACCTAAGTTCTTATTCTGTACTTGTCATTCGGGTGGACGAGTGCCTGCTGATGCAATTTTAGGGTGTACATCTGTGCCTATGTGATCGAAATACCAGAGACACTGGGATAGAAGGTTAGTTTCAGGCCCCTGGGACAGCCTCTTTACCCGACTCCGTCAGTATGAAGGAAACAGAATATCCCAGATCAAGAACACTTGCAACCCCTTGCAGCTGCTATCATTGCAATGGGAGAGCAGATCAGTGGCCAGCTGCCAAGTATTTGCTTAATAGCCACCCACGTCAGAGTGTTCTGTATTCCATATAACGTTTCCTTGCACTGTTGCCCACCTTCTCCCAAGAGGCAAAACAGAATCTGGCCCAGAACCTTCCTCCAAGCTCTGATCAAACCTTGTCTGACATTTGAAAAATCAGGGATGCCTTTGTTCCCAGCCCATTACATGTGCGTTCATCCCAGGAGGTCCTGGATTTGGGTTAGGGCCAACTTTGGAAAAGGAGGCATGGATACATCAAAGGTCATTATCTTAACGTCATTGCTCTGACTCATGTTGATGCTCCTACATCCAGCTCAGATTTGCAAGCCCAAGAGGTTCAGATAAGGTTTGGATAAGAGCTGAACATGTAGCGGCTTCTCTGAATTAACAGTATCTCTGAACTACTTGACATGAGCCTGTCTCTACTGCCAAGCAGAGTTTCTCCAGAGGCCTGCAGCACTGTTCCAAACTCCTTTGAGATAAAAGAAAAAGAACCCAACACCCTTCCTTACCATCACACCCGGACGAGCCAGAGGATAAGGGGCTGGGCTTCCAATTGTTGTGTCCATGTAGTAACTCATCATCCCCAAGACACCTACAAAAACAGAAGTGGGTGATTAGCTGCACTACCTAGGAAGCCTGATCTGACAGAGGGGCGGAGGGTGAGGTTGCAGGACTAGGTCCTTATTCCCAAGAGAAGTCACACACAGAAGTCCTATTGATCTCAATGCAAGGAAGGGCAGCAGAACTGGGGTTCAAAAGCAAAAGAGACCTATTAGGCCAGTTAATTTATCCCTGTCATGACCAGTGCAGGGGTGTTCCCAACAGTTTACTCCCAGCTGTCTTACTTAGACCAGTCTTATGTGGCTCTTGCACTTGTGAATAGCAGCCTCACACAGAAGGCCTGATCTGACACACTATTCACAGGCAACCTCGGTGAAAATGGAGATCAGTTAGAGAGACCGTGCTCCTCTCCTGCCCTCCAGGTGGGTTGATCTGCTTCATGTAGGCTAAAAGAGGGACAGCCCCCAAGACCTCCCCCCTCCCAAACACACGAGCCTGCAGCACATGCAGGTAGAATGGCATGTCACAGACTTTTCCCCTCCTCTAGCAAAGGGAGCTGATTTCACCCTGGCACAATCAAACATCTAGATTCCAGAGGCGAATCCAGTCACACTAACAGCCACAGCCCACGGAGAGCAACAGTGAGAGCTCCCCTAACCCTGCCATTGCAGCCTCAGAGGGCATAGTAGCTTGCTGTCACTCTCCCGGGCCCCTTCTCCCTATGGCATTGGCAGAGGGGGCCAGTTTTAGCCCAATTCAAACACCCCTTCCAGTCAAAGGGAGTATTTGAAGTCAGAGCCTCGGTGCCCACTGTGGTGTTTTAATCATGTTGACACTTATCCTGTAGAGCAGTGTTTCTTAAACTTTTTGGCTGTGTCTAGACTGGCAAGTTTTTCTGCAAAAGCAGTTGCTTTTGCGAACTTGCCAGCTGTCTACACTGGCCACTTGAATTTCCACGAGAACACTGATGATCTCATGTAAGAAATCACTGCTTCTTGCGGAAATACTATGCTACTCCCGTTCGGGCAAAAGTCCTTTTGCGCAAAAGGGCCAGTGTAGACAGCTCAGATTTGTTTTGCGCAAAAAAGCCCCGATCGCGAAAATGGTAGTCGGGGCTTTTTTGCACAAAAGCACGTCTAGATTGGTACGGACACTTTTCCGCAAAAAGTACTATTTACGGAAAAGTGTCCGTGCCAATCTAGACGCTCTTTTCTGCAAATGCTTTTAACGGAAAACTTTTCCGTTAAAAGCATTTGTGGAAAATCATGCCAGTCTAGACGTAGCCTTTGAGGCCACGGAACACCAAACAATCTTTTTTTTTTTTTATGCGGAACACCTATGAACATTTTCTCAAAAAAAAATTGTCAAACAAAAAAAGACAAAAAACAAAGAAGAGGTCACGGCACACCTGCGAGTTGTTCATGGAACTCCAGTGTTCCATAGAACATAGTTTAAGAAACACTGCTGTAGAGGACTGGACTGAGATCTTCAACCCAGGCACTGTATAGCCCAGCTCCTTAGCACCACACTAGCTGCCAGAACCTAATACTTCAATCAGTCTGTGCTGTATAGATTTGAACAGTCTGATGTTTATGTATTAGCTGTACACACCGGCCTTGGGTGATATCAGTACAGTCCACAGAGACACTCTGGATTCTACACTGCTTCACGGTAGCGGAGATCAAAGTCTGGCCCATGTACCAAATGCACATCATTCTTTGACCTATTTATACCCTATTTCATGCACATGTATATGCAACCTGTTCTTTGTGGAGCACATTCATTTGGAGCTGCGATGGTGGAGCCAGTTTAGCCTCCGGCAAAGGGGAGACTCTCCCTGTGCGCTGCTCTAAGTTACACCCGCCGACAGACAGCGAAAGCCCTCGTGGGAAAATCTCCAAGGTTCAAAGTCTGCTCCAGTTCCCCACCTCCCCAGAGAGAGTTCTGTCATGAACTGCCCTGTGCCTGTTGCAGTGACCCTTTGCTGTTCACTGTGGGGATGTTGTACCTGCCCTTTTGCAGAGCTGGGCTGAAGGGGCTGTCACTTGGCTCCATGTATGTGTAAATAAAGCAGGAAATATATGTGCCTCTGCCCCACCAGTGGTTTAGACTCCTAGGAGAAAATGTAGGGCCAACACGCTTTCCATTCCATGCGAAGTATGAGAAATATGTGCACTCAGTGTCACTTCCCCTACGTCCAGAGCCTTTTGCCTGGAAGGAAACTGTAAAGAGGGAGTTGTCAGGGATTCACAGAGCTCTGTTGCAGGAAATAACGCAGAGCCAGACGGCATTACTATTTTTATAAATTTATTTATTTTAAAAACCCATTCCGCCATCACAGGAACAGCCGTCAATGGCATAACAAGTCTCCACCCCGAGAAAGCAGCGACTCCATTGCTCTCTGGAGAATTGGTCATTCAGTTTCTTTAGAGTCCCCAGTGCCACTGTCTAGCTAGACAGCTGTAACCAGAAAAACACTGAGCCCTCTTTTCCTTGACTTCAGCTTTACATGTTATGTTCTCGGTCTTGCTCAGAGCTGCACCAACCCTGTTTACTGCTTTTGCTGTTATATATATATATATATATATATATATATATACACACACACACATATATTACACACACACACACACACACACCCTGGATCTGTAATTTCCACTCCAACTCATCTGATGAAGTGGGTTTTACATGTGAAAGTGCATGATATATTTGTTAATCTCTAAAGTGCCACAGGACTGCTCGTGTTTTTACCCAAGACAAGGTTACATGTGATGTTCTTGAGTGTGTGACTTCCCATTGCAAGCTCCAAACATCCAAAAATCAGGAGTTGGGCTCCAAAAATAAAAATAAAAAAAAAATTGTAACGAAAAATCCTGAGATTTTTAGGCCACATACTTATGGACGGGTTCTTTCTCCTTGCCTTCTGGTTTTTTGAACCATTGGGATGCACTTGGGTTATATTTTCAAGCTTTCCTCTGACCAGCTTTCACTTAACAAAATCAGACAAGTAAATGGAGTTCTAGACTCTAGAATCCAGGGCTTTAAAAAAGAACACCATTTAATATCAGGATTTGTAATTAAGTCACCAGAGCTGGCAAAACTGAATTTCATGCAGATTATGGCACAATGTCAATTAAATGGTCCTAGACACTATAGGACACAATAATCCTTCATCTAAATCCACTTACCGCTGTAATTTTACAACAAGGATTTTTTTTAAAATGTGAGATTCTATTCAGGCCCCTATATACCTTACCAATCACCATGTTGTCAGAGCTACAATAGCTCTGCTATTAGATTTTCTTCTGCTAAAAAGATTTCAGTCCCCCAGTTAGGGATCAGAAATACTATGTGACTTAGGTCACCAATCACATATCTCAAGTTTGACTTCTTTTCCCTAACTTATCCACATCCATGACCTATAGGCAGACTCAGAAAATTCAGTGAGGGCGTATGAGTCTATATGCCACTCTATGAGCAAACTTCTGATCCAACTGAAGTCTGTACAAGTTTTGATATTTCACTCCCAAGATAGATTTCACTCCCAAGTGTAGATTTAGCCATCTGCAACTACACTGTAAGTGGAGTTAATCAAGAATTGAAATTTGATCGGTACCAAACAATTTGTATGTTATAGAGCTATTTAAAATGAAGGAGGTGATTTTTGTGAAGAAAAATCAATAGTTTGAAGTTGTATGAAACAGAACTTTATTTTGGTTACTTTGCAAAAATAAAAAACGGAAATTTTAAAAATGTTCATTCTCTCCTATTTTTCTTCATTTTGGAAGAGAGATCAATAAAATAAATTTTGTCTCCCCTGCCACACACACATACTTTTGCAGTTTCCTTTTTCTCCCTTTCATCCATCTGTACTTTTCCCAAAATTGAGGATGTTCTGGAAAATTGCAAACTAGCAATAAGAAATTTGAAAAAGGGGAGGGAAATTCCCTTTCTCATATGGAAATGAGGTATGAGTGTAACTGTACCCACATAAGGAGGGGGGTTGGTCCACTTAGCTCTGCTGCATAATTAAACAGTACACTTATGTTTAGATGAGGCTCGAAGGTTGATGAGCCTCATACTAGGTGAATGAGCTTTGTGAGCAATAGAGTTGTTTTAGAGTTGCAATAGCAAGCTGATGTTTCTGATCCTTCTGCTGTGTGGTGATTTGGGGGGGATTTCATCTGGACCATGGAAGATTTGTTAGGGCATGTCTACAAAGGAAAATTATTTTGAAATAGCTAAATTCGAAATAATAACTCCTAAAAAAAAAAAATTGCTGTTTTGAAATAAGCATATCCCCCAAGGAAAGCAGAAGTACAGGTTTTGGAATAACCAGCCCGTGATTTCAAAATAATGGCCTTGCTAGTGTGGACACACTGCTTATTATTTCAAAATAAGGAGGGTTATTTTGAAATAACTCCCTGGTGTAAACCAGAGCAACCAGGTTCTGTATCTTAATAGGGTCCTAGCCAAACCTATGCTCCCAGGGAATGAGCCCTGGGATGGCATTGTAAAGAAAACAGCAGGAGGCAGGAGTGTTTACATGGCTCCATAGAGTTCCTGAGTGCTTTGTCCTGGCTAATTTTTAAGGACTCAACTGATAAAGTTTCCACCCTTCCCCAGAGGAATTTTTTCCACAACCTACTTCATCTCTGTGTCCACGAATATCTCTGCTGTTCAGGCTACAATTTTTCCCCCTTCAGTTTCCTCTCATAGGACCCTGAATAATTCCTCTCGTTCCTGGGAGTTTACTTCCTGCAGATACAATTAGATGGGTTTTATGGCCACCCAGGCAATTATGAGCTGAACTAAACTCTACCTTCAGTTACACTGGTGTAACTGCAGAGCAAATTTCCTGATCACAATGGAATTACACCACAGTAACTGGGAACCAAAGCAAGGTGAATACTATTTTTTTAAAGTGTTCAAAAACATTAGGTTGAATTGCCTACTAGACTACCTATGCTATTCTGTGAACAGACATAGATTCTATTTTTCTTCTCCCGTTTCTGCTTCTTGATTGGAAACTGGTTAAACACCATTATGTGACCAATCACATACAAGAAGTCAAACTGCAAAATTCCCAGGGAAGTTGAATGAGTTATTTAAAAAATATCAATATCAAATTTTTCAACTGAAATCTAAACAACCAAAAATACAACACACACACACACACACACACACACACACACACACTTTTCCATCAATAAAACGAAACAAAAACACAAATTCCCACAGGGGAAAATGTCATTTTCAATGACATTTTTAGATAGGACATTTATAATCAATTAAAATTTTGGTTTCATTTAGACTTTTATTTTTGCTTTCATTTCAGTTTTCAAAAAACCGAATAAAAAATGTTCATATTAATACCATTTCATTGCAAAGTTCCCATGACAAAGCTTGTGAGCAAAAATTATTTGCCCTAATTTTCTTTGGGTTGGAAAAAAAAACACCATAAGTTTTGACCAATTCTAATGCACATCTTTGCAGTATAAATAATGTATATATAGGGCTAAAATACGCTATTTTTAAAATAACCACTCGTGTATGTTCTAAGAAATTACCATACTGGTGTTAAAGATAGGGAAACCGAGGCACAAATACATTAAGTGACTTGCTAAAAGTCACTTAACTGGTCAGCGATAGAGCCAGGCATAGAAGCTAAGTGTTCTGATTCTCAATATATGGCCTCTCCATTAAGCACACCGCTTGTTAGTACAGTTTTTGGCTTAGTCCATATCTAGCTTCTGAGTCACTGTGTTATGCTCTGACCCTGCCTCTCTCATAGGTTCAGTACCCTGCAGTCATAGTGTTGGTGGTCCCTTTAAGAGGGTGATGGGCACAGATACAGGACAGAATTAGTGGGCTACTCTACCCATCCCCTCCCTGTAAATCCAGGCAGGCCTTTGCCTCATAAGCACTGATAGATGAGTAATGGGACAGGATGGGGGCAGGGGAATTCAACAGCCACATCTAAATGTTTCTAATCTTGATTCTAACCATCATTAAAAACAACAGGAACTCAAAGCAAGTGGTCTCAGCTGACTGGCTGACCCAAGGGTACTTAGTTATTGCCACTGGATTTTTGTAGTAAGCAATAATTTATCATCTTTGGGGAAAGATAGCCCATGGAAGTGACCTTCTTCTGCAGTACTTTTAACTCTTGAAATGCCAGCATTTTCCAGGCTTCCTGACCATTTAAAACTTGGGATAAAGTGCGTTTATAGCTCCATTAAAACACCATAAACCTGTTCAACTCATCAAGTTCAGGAACTGATTTAATATCTGATCTTCCCACCAAAGGGCTCAGATGGAACATGGCCAGCAGGCATGAGAGTTCTGCAGAGAAAACAATGTACAAGACATTTCTTTAATACCCTCCTTCCTCAGGGTATTTCTTTAATAACCCCCCTGCATCCCCCTTCTGTTCTGAAATGTGATTTGTTCTTTTCATGTGTGTTCATTTTTTTTTAATTGTATCCTTTGGTATATATGGTTGTGACTATTTTCTTCCACTATTTGATCTGAGGAAGTGGGTCTGGCCCACGAAAGCTCATCATCTAATAAACCATCTTGTTAGTCTTTAAAGTGCTACATAGTCCTGTATTTTGTTTCAGCTACACCAGACTAACACGGCTACATTTCTATCACTCCTTCCTCAGTTATCCTTTGAGGCCATTGTAGTTTCCCATACCTCATTAATATTTAGCACTCTTCATTAGAGAATCTGAACATGCATGTATTTTTATAAAACTCTCTCACCTACAACATGTTATATACAACTTACTGGGGGGAAACGGAGGCCAGGAATAGTCAAGTCCAAACTCTTCAAATATATTATCTTTACAGCACAAATATATTGTCGATATGACACTTCTGATAAACAAAGATTAAATGACTTGACCAAGGCCAAATAGCAATTTAGTGAGTCGTCATGGGTAGAACCTGGTATCTTGACTCCCACTCTCCTATGTCAAACACTACAATATGAAATGATTATGTCAGTTGGTTGACTTCAGCAGGTTTTTCCACCACAGAGAGGTTCCTGAAGGGAAGGTTCATACAATCTTCTCATGCAGAGTAAGGTAGTTATTGCAGTAGGAAGCTACAACTTAAGCAATGTTTGTGGCACCGTAATACCTTGCACTCCCTACAGAACAAATTGGACTCTTAACTTAAGCCAAGATGAGCTAATGCTGGCACACAACCCTTCCCCCACTCCCTGCCCCCATTTTTGGGAAAAGTGCCTTCTGGTTAAGAATTCTCAGATTCTATACCTACCTCATTAGCCTTTGACAAAATTACTTCTCGGCAGCTAATTCCCTAATTTGATTTGAATAGTGGCCCCATTAACAGCACTGCAAGCCAGTTGGTAAACTGACAGCTGGAGGTCATTTCAGGGGCACCCAACGCTAGCCAAACACTTTGCTGATTAGGCAGGCACCTAACCCAAAGAGGTTGCTGCTGTTACATCTTTTGCAGCTGCTATATATGAAATTGCAGGAAGATGCAGAGGGGGCTGGGGCTGGGACAGGGAGAGTGAGGTCATTTGTTATTCCACGCCAGTGTTTCCAGCAATGAAACAGTTGGTTGAAAAAGCATCCTGGGTCAAATCTGCAGCTGGTGTAAATTGACGTAGTTCTTTTGTGGAGCTAGGTTCGTTTTCAGCAGCTGTTGAAATGCTAAGGAAAATGGCCCAGTGGGGAAGGTGGCTATCCTGGAATGTGAAGAACCTATGTCCAGTTTGCTATGCTGCCACAGAGCTGGAGCAAGTCACCTTGAGCCAGATGGTTAGATGTATTGAAATGCCTCAAGGCATTTTGTGGAAATTTAAAAGTGAGACTTTTGAGAGCAATTGACTCCCACGAATGAGGCACTCAGCATCTCTAGGCACTTAAATACATCTAACAGGAGTCTCAAGTGGGAGCAGAAAAAGTCTTTGTTACCTCTGTATTTGTGTAACCATCACCAGGTGGATTTGAACCTAGGACCTCTGAAGCTGAGTATAGGAAACTCTACCCTCTGAGCTAAAAGCCAACTGGTACAACTGCAATATGGTGTCTAGGTCTGATGCAATTTGAGAGGGAGGTTGGTATATTGGGGGTGGGTTCAGAGAAGAACCACCAGAATGATTAAAGGATGGGGAAGAAAACCTCAGCATGTCAGGCTCAAGGTTCTCAGACCATTGAGCTTAACAAAGAGAAAGGTATAGGGGTGACAGTACATAGATGGTAAACTTGGTGACAGTACATGGATGGGAAACAAATATTTAATAATGGGCTCTTCAGTCTAGCAGAGAAAGATACAGCATGAGCCAACAGCTGTAAGCTGAAGCTAGACAAAGACTGATTTTTAAGGGTGAGGCTCAATTGTTTCATTGGTTAATTACAAAGGGTCATAATTGGGTTCTCCATCAGTGACAATATTTAAACCAAGATGGGATGGTTTTCTAAAGGTTCTGCTCTAGGGATCATTTGGGGGAAGTTCTCTGGCCTGGGTTATACCAGAGATCAGATTAGATGATCACAGTGGTCCTTTCTAGCTTTGGAATCTATGAATCTAGCTATATTGTGAGGCTCAAAGGTTGCAAGGTGCCTGTGTAAGTACCAAAGATAAACATCTCGAAGCAATCTGGCCAGGAGAGCTCTGAGCCATAACTGGTTAAACTCTTTCAGCACCAAGACTTTTATAATAAAAATCAAAGCCACTCAGCAATCTGTGCTTGGGCCAGCATTTCCTGTTGTTTAAAGCAAATGTTCCCATGTAACACCAAATTTGCTTTAGTAGAAAGTTTTTTAAAATGACAAGGGGGAGGGGGGGGATCAAAAACATAATAAAATCAGCATGGAATAAATACTCACCAGTAAACCCCTTCTGCAGCCCACCCCCTCTCCCTGAAGGTATCAGATGGCAGAGTCAGAGTCAATGGGACCTTAATAGCAAATTAGTGGCTACATGCAAAGCATCAAATTAAAGACTAATGGAAACATGGAAGACCTGACTCTGCATTTAGCAGAGGCTCAAAGCTCCCAGTGAGTTCCAGAGAGCCAGCGGGAAGGCTGGTTTTGCAAAGGATGTAGGATTCCATCCTGCATGATGTGGAATTGAAATCCTTGCACGGATAAAGTGTTTTCACTGTTCCCAACTTCAGCTGCTTTCAGAAGCAAAGAACCAAAGCTGGTACATGTCTGTGTTACATTTGTTTTTTTCCAGTAATGTAAGGGGGAAAGGAGGGGTACAAGCAATGTTTCCTACAAAGACAGAAATGGCCAAATTATTAGCTGGTGGAATCAGCTTCTCTACAAAAGTCAGTGGAGTTGCACTGATTTACACCAGATGAAAGTTTGGCACTAAACATTTTGCTGATTCGCCCCCTCCACTGTGGAAGAAAACTCTTTAACCCACTGAACAACAACAAAAATACACCAGATTAACAAAAATAATCTTGACTAGTCTGTCTTTCATTGTAACTTTGTTCCAATATAGGTTCACTAATCATGCCAAGAGGCAACTTTCCACCCCACACAAGTAAAGCAGCAATATTACCTTAACCTCATTTAATACAAAAAACATTTCAAAGGACCCTAAACACACCCAGATGGAATCAGCAAATAGATATATTTCAAATCAGCTAGGTGAAATTGCTAATGAAAAGAGAAGGAGTAAATATCCTAGCAGGTCACCAGCAAAGTAAATAGCCTGAAAATCAACATAAGGTAGAGTTTAGCATAGAGTCCAGAGCTTCACTTACTACTTTACTGAAAGACCAGAGAAAAGAGTTGTTTCCTCCACAGCTTCCCACACTTGTCTTAGGTCTCTTGCCAACTACCTGGTGAAATTCTCTGCACTAGAGCTAAAGAGGATGGAAATACCATAATGTTTCTAGCGGGGCCGCCTATCAAATAGAAAGGGGGTGTGGTCAGGATAGCAAACCCAGGGCGGCTGGAAAGGGCTAGCTTTGAATTAAGCTCTGACACAGCACCAGCAGCAGGGAAGGGAAGCTAGTGAAGCCACTACTGCCAGATGTGACTACCCACAATGTGAGCATGTTAAATTCCCACTTGTGTTCACAAGAGTCGGAGAAAGCCTCTGTCAGAATCTGTCCCAGGGAGAGGGATTGTGATATTTGCCTTCAGTGATTTGTGAAGCCTTTATATAATTTAATAAAACAAATTAGCTGAGGATCTCCAAGCACTTTCCAAGTATTAGTTGGTTAAGTATCACATCGTCACTGGGAAGTATTAATGCGTCCCTCCATGAGGCGGGGGGACTGGCTGAATGTACCTAGCGACACATTTCCACATTGGAATTCTTAAGTGAATTTTCTTCACTTATGTTCCAATACCATGATAACGGGCATTAATATAAGGAATTCAATGTGGACGGAATAGATTTTTACTACAGACAGTTCTTTCCTGTGAGTCTTGCCCCCTTGCTCAGTCTCTAACTGACTGCCAGATTTGAGGTTGGGAAGGAATTTCTCCCCTGCTCAGACCAGCAGAGACCTGGAGTCGGGAGAGGGGAGGGCTTCCTCTGCAGCATGTGGCAAGGGTCACTTGCTGATAAGAACTAGAGTAAATGGTGGATTCTCTGTCACTTGAAGTCTTTACATCACGATTCGAGGATGCCTCTACTGACAGACACGAGTTATATGGGCTTGTTGCAGGAGTGGGCGGGTGATAGGGTTACCAGGTGGCTTCCAAAAATACCAAGCACACTTGATCTCAGATCAAGCCGGTGGCAAGCAGGGCTTGTAGAGGGGGTCGGGGGCAGCGAGGCTGGCCAGGGGAGAACCAACCAGCGGGGAGCAGGGCTGGCGAGAGTGGGGCTGGCTGAAGGGGGAGAAAGCAGGGGAAGAGAATAGGCCGACAGAGTGGGGCTGACCCAGGCGCGCACAGATCCCAGAGCGCTGCCTGTCCTGCGCTCGGTCCCAGCGAAGCACGAGCAAATCCGGCCGTGGGGATTCCATCTCGCCCCGGCCCTGCCCCACCCTCACGTAGTTGTGTATTGCCTGGCTGGTAGACACACTCACACAGGCAGTTCGCAACTACGTACGGATACTGCTAATAATAATGAACTTACCTAAGTAGAAAATACCAGACGTTTTATATGTCCAGTATTTCTCAATTTGTTTCCCAAAGAGAGCCCTCAAATACCGATCTGTCCGGTTCAAAACCGGACATCAGGCAACCCTAGCAGGTGGGGTTCTGTGGCCTGCAATATGCTGGATTTAAGACCAGATGCTCATGATGGTTCCTTCTGGCGTTAAAGTCTATGGGCCTATTATCAGTTTCCTGTGGAAAATCTCTAGACAATTTACTTGCTAGAACAATTTCAGAAGTGGCAAATTTTAATACTCATAGGAAATGAATTTAGAATTTACAGTTAATCATTATCCAGTCAGGAAACTGAAATATGTCATGTGACCCAGGTGTCCAGTCAAAGCAGCCTGAATATTGCATGCTCACGACAAACTGAATGAGATCAAGCTGCAGATCAAGCATTCTTTTGCAGAAATTATTCAGGGAAAAAAGTTTATCTATATGGCTACGTCTACACTGGCCCCTTTTCCGGAAGGGGCATGTAAATTTCATGAGTCGTAGTAGGGAAATGCGCGGGGGATTTAAATATCCCCCGCGCGGCATTTAAATAAAAATGTCCGCCGCTTTTTTCCGGCTTTTAAAAAAGCCGGAAAAGAGCGTCTACACTGGCCCCGATCCTCCGGAAAAAGCGCCCTTTTCCGGAGGCTCTTATTCCTACTTCAAAGGAAGGAATAAGAGCCTCCGGAAAAGGGCGCTTTTTCCGGAGGATCGGGGCCAGTGTAGATGCTCTTTTCCGGCTTTTTTAAAAGCCGGAAAAAAGCGGCGGACATTTTTATTTAAATGCCGCGCGGGGGATATTTAAATCCCCCGCGCATTTCCCTACTACGACTCATGAAATTTACATGCCCCTTCCGGAAAAGGGGCCAGTGTAGACGTAGCCCAGGGGTGCAGCTACACTGCACAGTAGCTCGAAATAAGAGCTATGCCCAATCTGAGTAAATACCCTCGTGACATGGCACATGTGTGCAGTGTACCTTATTTCAATCTTATTTTGAAATAGCTTATTTCGTAATTTGGTGCTGTCTACACAGCACCAAATTTCAAAATAACCCGCTATTCCAAAAAGTCCCTTACTCCTCGTGGAACAAGGTTTGCAGGGATGTCGGAATAGCGTGCCCATTATATTTCAAAATAACAGGATTTCTGTGATGACACGGGTAGCTATTTCGGCATACTCTGGTATCCTGAAATAACATTGCAATGTAGACGTAGCCTATGTGTTTCATGGCATCCATCACCGTAGCACCTAATCGCTTTCCAGGGAATTAAATATTCAAAGTGAAGTTCCTCGTGGACTTTACGGCATCTCATGCTCTTCTGGAATCCCTGCTTCTAGGAGGGGCTGTTTGTTCAAATACATACAGGAACAGATTTATGAAGATATTTTAGTATCTACAATAGGTACCGAGTAGGGTTTTCTATCTGCATCTTTAGTCACCTAAATACCTTTTAAATCAGGCCCCCATAATTTGTTGATTTTTTTAAACTTATGGGTGAAGTTTCTCTAAATAATGAATAAATTCTAGAAATCTGCTGATCTCAAAAGATTTCCACCCTCTTGGGCCGAGGTCCCATGAAGACAATTGGAACCATGAGATTTCAGGTTTACCAAGAGGAATCAGAAGATCAGCTCCTTTGGGGTTTTAAGCCTCAAATCCAACATCTCACCTAGCCCCTCAAATTCTAAGGGGTTCCATTTTAGCCCTTCCCTGCATTACTGAGAAATATGAGACAACAGGTGTCTTGATGGCACATTATCTGTGGAACTCACAGTCATAAGGAATGCATCATTCTTGCAGTTATTTTAGTCCGGGAAATCATTTACAGGGTTCCATATTCTAAGGAAGGAACCCAGTCTGCTGGACTTTGATAAAAAAAAAAGGCTCTTTCAAATCTGAGCCAATAAGAATGGCATATATCCAACAATCAAAGTGTAATCTGGGCATCTCTTCCCGAGGCTGGAGGATGATGGCAGCTGCAAACAAGATGTCTTTAAGGTGTGGGGGAATGAGAGTTTATTTAACTATAGCAATTGATTATTTATATTAACAGTAGCATCTAGAGGCCACAAATGGGAGCATGGTCCTATTGTGCCTGGCATTGTACATATAACTAGGCAGAACCAGTGCCTGTTCTAAAAAGTTTTCAATCTAAATAGACAAAGGGAATATTATAATTCCTTTTTTGCAGGTAGCTTAATGTTAAACACAAACTCATAGAGAAAACCTGACTGAATCTAGCACTGAACCCAACTCCACTAAGTAATAGCCTACTGTTTAGCCACAAGTCCATCTTTCAAAGCAAGAAAAAGGAAGTACAGATAGCCCTCTACCACTGATGGGCTTCAAGGCTCCATCTATTCTGTACGTGGCACAGAGCCATATGCTGTGTCAGCATTTAATGAGCAGTAATCACTAATCAAGATACTAATTCATGACAGTGTCTCAAAAATGAATATCCACATCAATATTCTGCAGAGCCTTTTTTTGGTTTTGCTTAAGGGTTCTTGAGTATTGGGCACAAAAAAAATCTCTATTGGTTTTAGTCAGACATTTGTTTAATTTTTCTAGTACCCATTCCCAAGGCCTTTACGGGTGCGTCTACATAGCACCCTTACCTCGAAATAAGCTACGCAATTTCCTCCCCACAGAGAATGCGATTGGAAGGAGTTCCCCAGAGGAGAATGGGCTGGATCCTCAGCTGGCATGTCCTCCAAGAGAGGCGTGGCTTTGCTGCATGAGGCACCGGCAGCCTGCACGAGAATGAAACAATGCCGTAAGGAGAAGAGGGTAGCAGGCCCTTTGGTCGAGCAGACGCTATGCACCACTGGCTGGCACGATCCCGAAAGTATTCCTGGGCTGTGACAAATAAGCAATAAGCAATAGCTTATTTCAAAATTTGGAGCTGTCTACACAGTGCCAAATTTTGAAATAAAGCGCTATTCTGACACATCCCTTAACCCTCATGGAATGAGGTTGCAGAGATGCCAGAATAGCGTGTCTGTTATTTCAAAATATATTTCAAAATCACGGGTGCATTTAAAGATGCAGAATTGCTCTTTCGGGATACTTCTGGTATCCTAAAATAGCCCCAGTGTCTAGACATGTCCTAAATATGCAGGGCCTGATCCTGCAATGCTCTAGGAAGTCAGGAAAATGGAGGGTGCTCAGCACTTCACAGGATCCCAATGATCCTTCTCCCATGTGAAGCCCATTGCCTCCAGGGGGGAGCCAGAAGAAACCCTGAGGGTCTGATTTTGGAAGGTGCTGAGTACTAGCAAAATTCCCTTTGAGTACCCTAGCAGCAGGGATGAATCATCCCTTGACTATGGCTAAAATCCTTCAGGGTACGTCTAGACTGCAGACTTCTTTCAAAAAAAGCTTTTTCAGAAGAGATCTTCTGAAAAAACTTCTTTTGAAACAGAGTGTCCACACAGCAAAAGAGTGAACTGCCTTTTCAAAAGAGAGCGTCCACACTCCTTGGCGCTTTCTCACATGTAAGCTGTGATTACTACGGACAGAGTGTCCACCAGGGCACCTGTGCTTTTTCCTGGAGGCCTCTTCTTTCAAAAGAACTCCCTCTTCTGCGTCCACACACGCCGTTTTCGGAAAGAGCTCTTTCTCTTCCTCGTAGAATGAGGTTTACCAATGTCAGAAAAACCCTTCGTTCTTTTGATTTCCTTTCAAAAGAACGCAATTGCAGCGTGGACATAAGTGAAGTTTTTTCGGAAAAACAGACATTTTTC